TCCCTTCGGCCTCAGCCCCCACACCGGGGCATCCCTAGGGATCCCTTCGGCCTCAGCCCCCACGCCGGGGCTTCCCTAGGGATCCCTTCGGCCTCGGCGCCCTGTGGCCGGAGCAGACCCACTGTGCGCTGCAGAGCCCTGCCTGGCTCAGCGCACCCAGGAACTGGTTTGTGGTGCTCGCTGCAGAGAGGAGCCTGGCCTCAAAACGGGGGCGTTTTTCCTTAAATTACCGTGAACCTCCGTGGACGGAGCTTTCTGCCAGCGCGGGGCYGGCAGCGGCCCCCGGCCCTGCAGGGCCGCAGCGGCGTGTGCAGACAGAGGATTTATTCTGCGCGGTTCCTGCGGCTCCACACGTCCCCTGTCGCGCTCGTGCCCGGCTTCGCTGCTGCTGATCAAACTCGCAGCCAGTGCGACCCGCTCTTGCTCAGAGATCCCTGTGCACGTTCTGTTAAATGCACCGAGGTGCAGTGAGGCTCCTGGCTTTGTTTTTGGGCTCCTCAAGGTCGGAGAAAGCAGAGCAAGTGTCTGACACAAGCAGGTCCTTGAAGCTCCGTGGCACCGTGCCAAGTGCTGCCCTGAGCAGTCTCCGTTATCTCTGTTTTCTAGCAGGCAAAAGGAAAACGGGGTATAAACCAAAGTTCCCTGCCTTATCGCTTTGCCCACGCKCTGCTGCCCGTTGGCGGCGGCGCTGCCGCCTGTGTTCGCTTTGCTGTGTGCTCCCTCCTTGGTTTGCTCGCTTGCTTGTGTGTTTTCATGGTTGCTGTGTTTGTTTGTCTTCCCCAGAGATGACACTCCTCATGTCCCCAATGAGCAGCTTGGAGAAAAACAGGTTCTGCATATAATTGAGAATCTGACTTCCCTGATAAAACAGAATTTTCCAGGTAGGGAATGAATAGGGGAGAAGAGCACAAAGTCTCCCGGGAAGAACCTACCAGTGGATAAAGGATGTAACAGGAAGGGAAAAGGCCCTGGGAAGCCGTGGGCGCTGGCACTGGTTTGTCCTGCCCCCAGCTGCTGCGCAGGCGCTTTGCGGGAGCTCAGGGGCCAAACCCCTCTGAGCGCGTCCCTCTGTGCGCCCTTCTCTCCGCCGCTAGGAACCAAGGTCTACGCTGCCATGGGCAATCACGACTTCCACCCCAAGAACCAGTTTCCAGGGAAGGAGCACAGGATCTACAACCAGACRGCCGAGCTGTGGCGCTCCTGGCTGGACGATACCTCCGTTCCTCTGTTCCGAGCAGGTTTGGCAGCCGTGGCCCGGTGAGCGCGCTGGGGACGTGGGGTGAGGGGGAGAGCTGTCATCCGAGTGAACTGTCACCAGAGAGGCACCGGCTCTGAATAAACTCGTTTTTATTCCCCAAACTACACTGTTTGGAGAGGGAGGGCCTGGTTTAGGACTGATTCCTGGCGCTGAGTTTTCCCRGAGGCGCGAGAAGAGATTTCTTTGTGCTTGAGTCTCTTCTGCTCTCCTAGAGATGCAGGAAAGTGTCTCTGCAGAGAGCAGTGCATTTAGTGCAAATAAAAAAGGTGTCTCAAGAAAGCTGTTAGTTTAGGAGGGTGCTCTCTCTAGGGCTCTCTAAAGCTTCACAGTCCCTGGACTGTCCTGTACTCGCTCTGATCCTCCCGTCGCCTTGAGGTGCAGGATGAGAAGAGCCTGGGAGGAGTTGCAGCAAATCCTAACGTGTCCTGTGTTAGAGCTGCAGCCGGAGCTGCCGGTGCTGCCGGGATAGCGACGGCGCCGCGGGTCTCGCCAGGGAGAGCAGAGAGCTGAAGCAGAGGCGCGGGGAGTGCCGGGGCACGCGTGGCCGGGGCTGCAGCCTCCCTCCTGCTCGTCCTGTTTTGCAGGCGCTTTCTACAGTGAGAAGCTGCCCAGCCCCAGTACGAGGGGGCGGATGGTTGTCCTCAATACCAACCTGTACTATGACCAGAATAACCAGACTGCTGAGGAGGAGGATCCTGGAGGGCAGTTCCAGTGGCTGGAAGAGACACTGAGTAATGCCTCAAAAGCAGGAGAAATGGTAATAAAAACAAAGAAAAAAAAAAGAGAGAAAGGAGAGAAAAAAGACGGGGGGGGGAAAGCCTTTATTCCTGGCTTTTCTGAGCCTGAARAGGAGGACACTGCTGATATTGCTGTGTGCCCAGGACCAGCAAGGCAGTGCTGTCCTTGGGAAGCACAGGGCCTGCGTGCAGTGCTGCCCATCGTGTTGTAGGTCTATATTGCTGGCCACATTCCTCCTGGCTTCTTTGAGAAGAAAAGAGGCAAGCCCTGGTTCCGGAGCAGCTTCAACGCGCGGTACCTGCAGATCGTGCAGAGGCACCACCGCGTCATTGCTGCCCAGTTTTTTGGACACCATCACACTGACAGCTTTCGGATGTTTTACAGTGACACAGGTACCGAATCTGGCCAGCCAAGTATTTGTGTGATGACTCTTCAATCCCCCCAGAATCCTTCCTGAGATTCCTGACTCTTACSCGAGGTGTAAGGGAGCAGCAAGGGCACCGCGGGTCCCTCTCACTGAGCGATGCTCAGTCTGCCACAAGGCAGGCCTCGGCCGCTCATGATTTATTTCATGTTTCTATTAAGGTTCTCCAATCAAYGTCATGTTCTTAGCCCCTGGAGTGACTCCTTGGAAAACTACATTACCTGGAGTGGTTAATGGAGCCAACAACCCTGGGATCCGGGTAGTTGATTATGATCCAGACACCCTCCAGGTGAAGGTAGGCGATCCCTAGGGCAGGGGTCAGAAGTTAATGCAGGGAAGCCTCTTGTTTCCTTTGGCTTCCATTTGCAAAAAGGGGGAGGCTGCTGCTCTYGTGCTTTTCTTCTGCAGTGGCTAAAGTATCTCTGCAGATACCGTATTTACAGGTTTTCAGGATAAGAAATGTGTGCTTGTCTGTCCTGAATTTAGTGTGGGGAACTGATGAAACAGAGAGCAAAAGAGCAAGAGAGCAAGAGAGCAAAAGGTGGGGTTTGGCTGAACATTGTAAATGTGATTTCGTTCACCCTTGAGTAACTGCTGAGTTCTGTAACGCTTCTCCAGCTGCGCCTTCTGCCGGAGGACAGCGTGGATAATAAACACCAGAGTGATTTTTGGAGGATTTTTGGCTCAAAAATCCTGGTGTTTTAAAATAAGAGGCAGAGAGAAGGCAACCCTTAATCACTACCGGTGAAATGGGATGAAGCTGCTCTCGTGGTGTGTGCTGAACGCTCTCCCYGGAGGCCTCTGGCCTTGGCTTCTCCCGCTCATCCTCCGTGCTCCGCTTTTCTCTCCCTGCAGGATATGGTGACCTACTACTTGAACCTGAGCCGCGCCAACGCGGCGGCGGCGGCGGCCTGGGAGGAGGAGTACCGGCTGACGGCGGCGTTCCAGGTGCCCGACGGCTCGGCCCGCTCCATGCACGCGCTGCTGGGCAGGATAGCGGGGGACGCGCGCGATCTGCAGCGATACTACGGGTTTAACTCGGTCAGCTACGACCTGGGCCCGTGCGAGGAGCCCTGCCGCCTGGACCACGTCTGTGCCATCAGGGAGGTGGATTTTGCTCGGTACGACGCGTGCATCAAGGGCGGCAGCTCCGCCGCGGCCCCCGGCACCGCTTTCCTCCTGCTCTCCCTGCTCTCGGCTGCCCTCGCGCCCCGGCTCGGGCTCGGAAACCAAGACCAAATCGGAGGCTTTTAACGAACACTCCCCAGGGCTCGTGTGAACACTTGGAGCGTTGGGAAGAGCATCTTAGTGCAAGGGGAAGGGCAGCGAAGCCATGGAGCTTCCCCAGGCCAGTCTGACCCGCGTGAGGGAGTTTCCCTTCCTTCCCGTGCCGCTTCTGAGGGGGGTTCACAGTCCAGCAGCTCCAGGCCGGGCTGCCACCCTGGTTTTAACTTGACCTCCCAGCGCAGGAGAGCCTAATGTGCAAGTGCGCACAAGCAGCCCTGTTCTCGAGGACCTGGGGCTCCGTTGTCCTGCTCCGGGAGGGCCGAGCCGGGCGGCGCGCGGGGTGGGATGCAGCTCTGCAGCCCGGGCTGGGTGCCCCAGGAGGAGGGTTCCCCTTCATCAACGCGCCGGATTAAAGGGAATGACTGATGCCCAAGTCCAGCAGAAAGTGCCGCTCGGCATCCATAAGGAATGGCT